CATAAAGCTTTGGGAGCTGGAGTATTTTCTTTTCTTTCTTCTTTTGTGAAGTAGGTCATTTGAGTGTGAAGTATTATGTTTTTTCCCCTTTTTCTCCTTCCTCTCAGAAGTCCTGTGGTTGAAGAGTTATGGTCATAGAATCTGTACATGTGACTATGACACTATTGAAGTGGAAGAGTGATTTTCAAGGAGAAACAACATAGAATTCCAAGAATTACTGACACATTAGGCTTTTTGTTGGTTCAAGTTCAGGAATCTTAACTGGTGACAGAGAATAAACTCAACCAGGTGCTTAATTGTAATTGATTCTGCTGATAAATTGTCAGCCCTACCTGAGAGTCTTGCCTTTTGTTAGTAGCTCATCCAGCACAGAAGGGTCCCCTGGTGACGCAGTCTTTTGGAGTTTTATGAAACCTGTATTTGCCTGTTGTAATTGACATATTATTTTTCAAATGGTGGAACTTGCGGAACCAACCCAGAGTGGCCCCATCTCCTTAGTCCTGCCTGTTGGATTCCCTGCAGTTCTCTTTGCCTTAGGAAATGTGAGCAGTTACTGGGAAAGTCTTGAAAGCCACCAAGACTGGGTGTAGGACCCGTATCACTTGGCCGAAGTTCTCTCTGTGTGCTGGACCGCAGCAGAGTTTTACTCTAGTTGTTCTTGGGTTGATCTGCCATCTCCCCTACTTTGGATGTTTCTTGGAGCTTTCAGGGGCCCCACAGCTTCATGGTTCAAGACTTTTCAAGGTGGCTTCTCCACAGTCTCCCTGACAACTGTCCTTGTGTTGTCTGGGTAACAGGTCACTTGCCCTCCTAACTGTGTGTGTGATTTCAAGTCTGAGGAAAGCCCTGCTTTCATGTTTGGCGTCCACACCGTAAAGATATCCCCCGAGCTGCCCACGTGACCAGAGACCTCACTACAGGAAGGGGGCCTTCCCTCTTGAGCCCGAGTCAGCTGAGCCTGTGGGCTTCCCTCCCTCCTGGAGAGCTGGGGTTTTGAAATGATGGTGCGGGGGCGGAGCCCCGGGCAGGGCCGGTTAATTCCCCTCCCCTAGCCTGCTCTCATCGCTGGGCCGCATTTGATCATTCATTCACACTGACGTGCGAGGCCCAAGAGCGAGTTGCTGGCGATGGTAGAGCCACCTTATTGAAATAGCATGTTAGCATTTAAACAATATTAATACTATTTGACTCATTAAATATACAAAGGCCAGTTAAAGTGCTTCCATGTGTGTGCTGTTAGTTCTGGCGGGCAACTCCTCAGATGACTTTATGTGGTTTCAGACAACATTTTAGCACATTCTTAAAATACCCACAAAAGCCTTTATGTAAAAACTCATAAATGTGAACCCCATAAAAATTATTTTTTTTTCCTGTTTCATGTCATTATGATCAAAGTACGGTAGGTAAGAATAAATTTTCAAAAACTTGTTGAGGTCCCTCTTTAATCAATGCTTCACACACAGAGCAAAGCCGTGGAGCACGTAACGGGGCCTGTCTGCGTGCCCCACAGTTGCCGTGCCCTGACCGCGCACCCGGGTCTGACCACGCTGGTTGGAGAGGCGGGTCTGTCTGGTGATTCTGAAATGGCCCTTCTCGATCACCCAGTCCTCTGCCGTCTTTGTCCTGGAACCTCGGGTTAAGACTTGCAGCCACTCAAGTCCCTCAAGATCCCTTTTGGCGGATGGAATGCAAGTTTGTTCTTGAGTTGCTGTGTTGGGGCCATTCCTTGGGAGGCCGGGTCTCGGCACGTCCGCCTCACCTCAGTGGGGAGCGCCCCGTTGGGTGCGGGAGCAGAGCGACAAATCCCCAGCGTTGCCTCTGACTCTGCTGCCGTCATTTCCTTATTAAAAGTTAGAATGACGGTAAGTTAGGATACTACCCAGTGGAGTACTACCCCAGCTATTAAAAACAATCACAGAGATCACGTGGCCCCACGGAGAAGTGCTGATGGTTCTGTGCCAAGTGTGAAAAGTCGTGCTCAATGCAGCGCCATTGCTGGGCTTATAGTTACATAAAAATCATGCATCTGGACAAAGGCTGGAAGGGAATTTGGAAAAAGTAGATTTATGGGATAAGTTGATAGATGGTACTATGGGCTAATTTTTAAATTTCCTTTTTTTTTTAACAATGTTGCAATACATTTTTTTAATTTGGGGGAACAGTAACCCACATGGGGATCAGGACTGAGGTTGCATTTTACCTCCTTCGTACCCGGCATTGTGAGACGCTGGGCGCAGTCAGTGTGGCCCACAAGGAAGCTGAGCAGGCCAGGAAGAAGCTGCCCAGCGTGGGAGCCGGGCCACGGAGGGGGTGCTGGGCTGGAAACGGCCAGTTCCACCTTATAAAACATTCATGCCGCTGTCTTATTTTTCTGAAAGAAAACAAATCTAAGGGAGGGGACCGAGGGGGATCAACTGTAGGCCACCTGGCACTTTTGAACTGGTCACCGGGTGGTGTCGACACGGCTGTCAGACCACCGTGATCTCTCCTGGCTCCCTTCCAGCACAGCCCAACCCGTTTTCCCCAGTGCTCCAGCACACAGGGCGACAAGCCTTGGATGAGAACACCACCACTCTCTGGTTTGGGGAGGGGCAGCGGATTGGGGCCATAAGCTGGGGGAGGGGGGCAGCGGAAGGATGAAAATGCCCACTGGGCTTCAAGCCTTCATTCCAGGATGGCCAACGGAAAAAAGGAATTACCAGCTCGTCCTTTTTGCCAGCACAGGAAAAGCCACAGTTTTTTCAAGTTGTTGTTTTTTTCCCTTTTGATGTGGGGCTGCTCTCCCTGCAAGCAAGACGAAAGGGAAAACCAGGTGGCAGAGCCTAGCCGCCCATCACCAACAGGGCCGGTTCACAGGCCTGCTGTGGGCTGCTGCTCTCCTCCCTCACTCGTGTTGGGGTGCGTCCCAGTGAACTCCAAACCAAGGGAGCCACCCAAATCCAGGGCAACAAACCGCAAGGGCTCCCAGAGGCCCTACTGCGGGCTCGCCTGGGCGCCCTGGGGCTCCCCACATCCCGGGAGCTTTCCGGGCCAGCCTGGGTGCACGGCTCCCTGCAGGGCTGGTTCTCTGTGAAAACACCTGCCTGCTCACTCCCTCCCAGGGAGGGGGTGTGTGTGTGTGTTTTGGGGGGGCAGTGGCAGTGCTGAAAAGAGATTGGGAACAAGAGAAAGAACCTTCCTGAGTGCCCAGCTTTGGCTGATCTCCTGGAGGTCACCTGGGATGGTGCCAGGCTGTGGGCCCCCACAGGCGTGTCCGTGCGTTCCCCTTGCAGCACTACACTTGCGCTTGTTTGGAGCCAGAGGCCTTCCCCCCCTCCATTGTTGACCGACAGTTAATGCGGGGCTGGCGTCTCCTGCGGAGCCCTGGCAGGCCTGCCCTCACCTGCCTCCGGTGACTTGCTGGGAGTGGCAGAATTGGGAATTGCATTTGACAGCTTAATCACAGTGGATGGCGCTGGGATGGAGCAGTGGGGACAGGATGTGGTGGCGGCAGCAGCAGTGGGCGGGCCCCAGGCTGCCTGAGGAATCCTGGTGGGGAGAGGCAAGGGTAGCACCCTTGGCGAGGACCCTTGGGCGTCCAGCCGGCAAGCAGCGGGTAGAGGCCTGCAGCTCACCGGCTGCAGGCTCTCGCTCCTGAGGCGGGGCTACTGCCTTGGGCTTATTGTTACACTGCTGCCTATCACGTACTGGCCTTTGCACAAGAAAGGACAAAGAATTCTCATATTTCTTCACCCCCATTTTCTAAACAGTAATATTTAGCATGTATGTGTTTATTATATAACAACTCTATTGAGCTATAATTCACAGATGTGTTTACTCTTAGTTCTTGTTTTTGTTACTAAAATTACTAGTAATCTTTGGTCAGACATCTCTTTTCCTCCATTGGTTTCATCTCAACAGTCCTAAGGCCCAGTTACCGCAGGTGCTGCCTGGCAGCCCTTGCTTAATGGTTGTTGGGTCATAAGCGCACAGATGGAGCTGGTAACTGGAGGGGCTGGCGCTGAGACTCACGCTCGTCTGACTTGAGCCCGCGCTCACCGCGGCCGCGCTGCCTGCTTGCTGCTTCCCATCTAAGGTCACACTCCGGTGGGTCCCGGAGTGTGCCTGCGCACCACTGAGCAGGGGTTCATGGGGTCAGAGAGGCCACACAGACTTGCTGGTAAAGCATGTGCTGGCTGCCAGACCAGATTCTCCCACTTGGTCGTCAGTGGAATTTGAGGCGCCGCTCATCAGCTGATGGTCCATCCTCCTCTGCTCTCTGCACTCCTCGGTCTAGGCTCACAGCAGCTTGACCTTGACTTGGGTCTCTTGGATTTGGGAGTCTAGCCTGATTTCCTTTCCTCCTCTGGCCTTCTCTTTCCCTCGAGCATTTGATCTTAATTAGGAATTTTTCCATATTGGCTCAGGCCTCAGGAGGAAGCTCCATCCCAAACGTAGCTCTTCATTCTTGGCTGGGGGGTTGCAGCAAGTTGCTCTGAAAAACCACAGAAGCCTGGGTGTGCCCAGGCTCTGGAGAGTTCTGGGTGGGGAAGCGTTTGTTGCTCTATTTCTTTCTCCTTATCGCCCCTGTAAAGCAGCCATCACAAAACACAGGATTATTGGGCGGTGATGAGGACTCCGTAGTAGTGAACCCCATCGCATGTCTGTCACGCCACATGCTTTGTTGGGTCCTTTATGTGGGAGGAATCTGAAGCCCAGAGAAGTTTGATAAATTCTCCAAAGACCACAAAGCCTAAGGTATGTGGCAGAGCTCAGACTCAGGTTCATCTTGAGCCGTGTTCTTTCTGTGACCCCCAAAGGATGCTGTGCCCCCATCCCTGACCAATGGATGTTCAGGACACATGCAAAAATGAACCCTGGAACCATTGCAGGGAGGGTCCTCAGTTCTAGACAGACACTTAGGTGAATCTCTGCCAAATGACACCCCCTGGGGCCCAAGCTGAGGGTCTGTAATTTGACAGGCTTAACATCTAATGGGCACACGGGCCTGTTTCCTGCAGGTACTTTGAAGGCGGCGTCTCATCTGTCTACCTCTGGGATCTGGATCATGGCTTCGCGGGAGTGATCCTCATAAAGAAGGCTGGAGACGGCTCAAAGAAGATCAAAGGCTGCTGGGATTCTATCCACGTGGTGGAAGTGCAGGTACGGCTCCCGGCAGCTGCTGGCCCAGGGCCTGCGCTGCAGACGCCCCGCCGAGCCGGGCAGCCCCTGTTCTCTGGCAGGTGCTTCTTGAAGATGGGTGCTGGGGTGCTGTGATCCGTAAACCCGTTAATTCCTAAAATGCCCCGAAGCCATCTGGATAAAGATGAGTCAAGATGGCAGTAGTCATTGATGATAAAGGTCCCAGAAGAACTAAATCCACATGATTGTAGATTTAGTCCTTTAAAAACCATTTGGGATTTTATAAGAAAGACAGTGTTGGGGTAATGTCTTAGGAAGGGGCACGGTAGGATGACCCTGAACTCGGCCGCCTCCGGCCCTCCTTAGCTTGGGGTTATGCTCAGGGTTCTGATCCCTGTCTCGTCCCCCAGGAGAAATCCAGTGGCCGTACCGCCCACTACAAGCTGACCTCCACGGTGATGCTGTGGCTGCAAACCAACAAATCCGGCTCTGGCACCATGAACCTCGGAGGCAGCCTTACCAGACAGGTAGAGTTGCCAGTGGCCACAGGTGCCAGCCCCAGAGCTGACTGTACGTGGGAATGAGTGAGCGGTTGTCCCCACAGAGGGATCCTGGGCCAGCCTCTGTGCCTGACATGACCTCCCCAGAGGCCTATCAGTGAGTCCCAAGACTCAGGCATGGGAGGTTTTCTATCTGGGTCAAGGTGTTTATGTTCAAGTGCTCCTGTGATGTCGAGGACATACTGCTGATAACATTTTAGCATGATTTAATTCCTCAGTTGTGACCTAGATTATGTATTAGGACTCTTGGTTGCAAATGACAGAAGTAAAACTCTGACTTAAGCAAAACATGGAAATGAGTCAGCTTGCACGACCCAGAAATTCAGGCTTCCTTGAGCATGGCTGGGTCTAGGACGCAGATGATGCCGCTGGGACCCTGTATCGCTGCATGGTGGCTCCCGACAGTCCTGGGGAAGAGCTTCTCTTCCCGTATAGGCCCATGAGACCCCAGATATGGTTGCTGGTCCATCACAATCATTCCCTGAGGCTGCGGGGGAGGAAGGCGTCAAGCTAGTCTTGGGTCGTGTGACTACCTGTGATATTGTAGCTGGGAAGGGAGTGTTGCTCTCCTGGAGTAAAACCTGGCTGCCTTTCACCTGCAGGGGGGATGGATGTGGACAGGCAGCGGACAGTGAACACGGGTGGACACTGCCGTGCAGGTGGGGTGGGCCATATGGAGAGTGACAGCAGAGCCAGAGGGTCAACCCAGATAGTTGGCAACAGGCTGCTGGGGGACAGTAGCCAGGGTTCCCCAAAAGGAGAGAAGAGGCTGAAATAAAAGCTCAAAGGGATTCAGAAGGAGAAGCACCTGCATCCTCCGCCTCAGCCGGTGTCCTCGCCTCCCCATGCAAGTGCCTGGTCGGGACCAGTGACTGACAAGCACGGTGGCAAGTCTGCTCTCCGCTCAGCTCTGCGCAGCCCGCCCCCGCCCCCCTCTCCCCCTGGAGTGCTCCAGGGATGGAGCTGGACAATGCTCACTGGGTCCCCAGCGCAGGCCCAGGCAGGGCCTTTCAGAGAACTTTTAAAAACTCAGAACACTCGTTCACCTCACAAAAGCAGAAGTGAGCATATTTGGCCAAAGCAATCCAAAGCCTACCTGAGTCACAGGACTGAGACACTGGAAGAGTTCAGAGGTCACTCCCAACCTGACAGGACGCCTGCTTCTGCTTTGCCCTGCCCGGGTGGGGTGCTCACTGCTTTGGGAGACGGTCTGTTCCTTTTACGTCAGCCTCTATAAAAAATGGCAGCCGCATAGAACCTGTCCTCCAAAATGTGCCCAGAAGAGGCTGCTACCTCTTGAGCGTGCGATCAACTAAATGGCCATCCACTGGCACCCCCACCCCATCTCTTTGTCCCATGAACCACTGAGTGTCCAGGGATTTCCCCTGCTGTTCTTAGGAAGCCAGTCTTTTTTAAAGTGAGGTTTCCCATTGCCTGTGTTGGTTATGTGAAGCTTGGTGTCAGCGAACCAGGTGATAGCTGTCCCTGCTGGCTTCGTTCTTGTACGTTACCTGTGGTGGCTCTGCCTGATATTAATTAGCTCTAGGCCAAGCTCAGAGACCTCCGGCAGGGACTTCCTTAGAGTGAGTTATCGGTCAGATGAGCATTTTTGTTAGGATGCTGTCCTTTAACTTGGGCTTATTTAGCCCACTGTAAATCTGTCACTTATTTTCAAATAAATGCCCGTTGGGCGCTCCGTGGTTGGTCGCCACCTGCCAGCCCCTGCTGGCCCCCTGCTTCGGCAGGGGCAGGTGGCTGCAGCCTTGGCTGTGGCTCCTCTCCTCGCCCTCCCCACGCCCTCCCCATGCCAGCACCTCGGGCTCCCTCTGTGCTGTGAGACAGGGTGCTTTGCTCGGGTCCCGTCTCTGCGGTCATGAGCAGCCCTGTCAGCAGGTCACCAGCAGGTCATTGGGCAGGTCGGCTCTCTGAGAGACCTCTCACCTGCAGCTCCAGGGCACCTGTGCCCTGCCGTTCACAGCCTCGCCCAGGGCCCGTGTTGGCGTCACCCAAGAGCTTGTCAGAAATGCAGAGGTCTTGGGCCCCACCCAAACTTACCAAGTTGGGATTTGAATTGAACAAAATTCTCCAGGTAATTTATGCACACATTAAATTTTGACAATTGCTACTCCTTTGGCTTCTGTACCCATTTCGTGAGTAGGGGCATGGTCCCCATATCCCCACCAAGCACTTCTCATGCAACAGCAACGTGTCTCACAGTTCAGCCTAATCCTGACGCTCCATGGAGACAACGTCAAATCCCACAGGTTAAGGGCTCAGTTCTTCAAGACTTCTCCATCCCGTCCCCCTCCCATCCCCCCAACGCACACACACACACACACTCCGTCAGACACCAGTTGCAGGTGCGGATTGTCACCTCTGCTCTCACTGACCAACCAGCTGTGAATCAGAGGTGCCCACATGCCTTCCTTGGGTTCCACTTACTTTCTAGAGTGGCTCACAGAACTTAGGAAACCCATCTACTCACTAGATTTCTGGTTTATTATAAAGGTTATTAAAGGATATGAATTAATAGCCAAATGAAGAGATAGGGGGGGCGGGGGCGAGGTCCCGAGCAAAGGAGCCTCTATCCTTGTGGAGTTTGGGACCCATATGGTGGCTGGAAGCATCCAGCTCCCCATCCTGAAAGCTCTCTGACCCCCACCCTTTGTGGGTTTTATGGAGGCTCCGTTACATAGGCATAATTGGTTAACTCACTGGCCATCGGTGATTGATTCAACCTTCAGCCCTTCTCTACCCACTGGAAATCGGGTGAGGTTGGAAGATGCCCCCCTCTATTTGTGGCTGCTTCCCCTGTTGAAGGCATGTCTTGGTTGAACTGGGAGGTTGGGCTGAAAGGTGCTGCCTGCCCAGGAGCAGACGTTCCTAACTTCTACTTCAGATGCTGCTTTAAGCAGCTAAGCAGGCTTCAGACCTTTGTGTAAGGGCCCACGTTTAAGACCCTTGACAGCCCTGTCCTGGTGGGTGGTGGCCGTGTGCCAGCATGGTGTCTACTTTGTGTAAAGGGCAGAGCATGGACAAGAGACACTTGGCCTCCTGTTCTAGTTGTTACTCTCTTTATTAGGATCCCTTTTAACATCAAAGGTTTATTTCAATAAGATAATAATTCTACTTTAATAGCTATTGATAGAAAATGTACGTACCAGAAAGCATACATATAGTAGTAACTCAGGTGAATTTGTACTTGAGTCACAAAAGAACCTTCACACATTTGGAAGATCACAGCGCAGGCAAATGCGCTGTCCGCCAGCATGCCTGGGGTGCTTACTGGAGCCCTGCGCCGAGCCTCCGCTGCCCCTGCGGCTGCGCCACGGGGGCCTGAGCCCCTGGCCTTCGGGCAGCGCCATTCCCGCGCCATCCCAGAGCTAGGCTAGTGCTCCCCGGGGCAGAGCCCATCCTTTTGCATGGACATGGGCCCTTGTCTTCCAGGAACCCTTGCCCGGGGAGCGGCATCAGACCCCCGGGCAGCCAGCTCTACCACAGCCGGCTTCCTCCACGCCCTGCCACCTGGGTGATGGTGGAAAATCCTAAATTTGTATCCGGAGACTGTTTCCTGCATCACTTACCGCTCTGGACTGTTTAGAATTCCACCCGGTTTACAGTGACCTGGACAAATATTTAATCCTTGGTCTTCCTAATAGTTTAAATCAGAGCTGTCAGCCCACGGCCAGGGTCTGGTTCCGGCTTGCCGCGAGCAGTGCCTCCTGCCAAGCCAAACACACGCCTGATGAGTGGCTGTCCTCAGCACACCGGGCCGGGGCCGCGGGCCTTGTTTGCATTGCCTGTGCTTTTGGGCTTTAGTGAGGAAGTTCATGCTTCTGTCATCATACTAACGGCCGGTCACATAACTCATCCGAGGGGCCTTACAGCTGGGGCAGGGTTCCAATGTAAGTAACTGCGGAGTGGGGGCAAGGAAGCAGCAAGAGAGACAGGCCTAAGTGAGTGACGCGCCGCTTCGGAGCGAATGGGAAGTGGGGGCCGTGGGTTGGGCCAGTGGTCCCAGACGGGCCTTGGAGTCCCAGACGGGCAGTGGTTGCCTCGGGTGGGAGACGGGGGGCTTCCACCAGGAAAGTTGAGCAAATCATGGGTAAAGGGTGAGCATGCGTGATGGTGCAGGCCGCCTCCTTTGGTGAGGCTGTAGGCAGGAGAGAGTCACCACTCCCATTTAACAGGTGAGGGAACCAAGGTTCAGAGGGTTTCGGAATTGTCCCATGGTTAGGAGGCAGTCAGGATTTGAGCTCAGATTTGTCATTCTAGAAAAAACATAGGCCTACATTTTTTGCTCTTAGTCTGTCCCCTGTGCTTGGCATTCAGTAGATTGCTAAATAAACATTTGCACAGAAGTGCATTGAGCAGTCAGCTCAGAGTAGACAGTCCACTCCCCCGAGGGCGCCCAGTGGCATTCTGCTGGCAGCCAGCGCGAGAGCCGTCATGGCCCCGTGGCCCCAGAAGCGGGCACCGAGAGTGGGGTCAGGGCTGTGGGCCCCCTGGAGTGTGCTCAGCACCGTCACCCTGCGGGTGCCTCCTTCATCGGCTTCTCCTGTAGGAAGCAGGGTGACCAGATGAGACACCGTCACCACCAGAGGTAGTGGGAAGGGTTTCAAAGGCTTCTAGGTGGTGGAGTGGTCTGGTCAGGTCTGTGTCTTCAGAAGACAGCCTTGCCGGCTGACACGGCGGGTGCTTGGTGGAGGCGGCTGTCAGAGTCATCCAGGAGAGGTGACCAGGGCCTGGGAGGGAGCAGCCTCAGAGGGCTGGAGGGGACGGGCCTGTGGCCAGGTGGCCCGTGGAAGAGGCTGTGTTACCCTCAAGGCAGGAAGCAGCAAAGGGCAAAGGCAGGAGGAGGAGAGGAGCGGGGACAGGTCAGGAGACATTTGGGAGTGAGTCTTCCTCACCTGAGCCCTGCCTGCAGTTGCCAGGCGTTGGCCTTAACTGTGGGCCCTAGGCCTCGT